AGAAAAAATGTAGTTGTAACGGAAAAAATTAATTTCATTAAATTAGTAATTAATAATTTTCTTATTAAGAATTAATTGTTCACGGAATCATAGTTAACATAGTTCAATCTCTCTTTTATCAAGATTATCAGTGGTCTAAAATTAGGTAGAAAACGTCACGTATTATAATAACATTTTGGTATGAAAATGTCACAGAGATATGTCTTTTAATCGGAATTAAATTTCAACATTTATTTAAAATTTGATTAATATTTAAATTTGCAAAAAAAAAGATAAATGAATGAAGGAAGAGAATAATAAGCAAAGAGCACACACATCTTTTATGTAGGCGTATTACACGCGTGCCCGCGAAAGCTTTGATAAATGTTGCTTTCCTTGGCCTGCTGCCAAATAGCACATCGCACAATGTATCTCATCGCTCGTGTATTCCTCATCGCGCTTTTCACTCATCGAGATGTACATTAAGACCTTTACACTCGGTAAATATATCGATCGGTGATGATTAAAAGCACGCTGCTCTCGGTCGAATATTACGATAATTTTCGATTACTTAATACTGCCGGAAATATTTAGCATTTTTTTTTCCTTTTTTGGATACATCTGAAAGAATCTTATCTGCAAAGAGAGAACTTGAAGAAACCTGTCCGTGTATATTACAAAATGTTAATTAAGACAGAAATCCTTGTCGTCACAGTTAATGGATGATCCAATTCTTGAGAAATTGTGCAAATTACTTTGCGACACGCCAATTACGAATACAAAGGATCGAACTTGGCTTGATTTTGGCCTTCTCCAAAATTGATGATCGTCATTTTTCTTCGAAGAATAAATGAAATATTTCCTTTATTTCTCTGACACGTTCATTTATCATGCAACCTTAAATATGTTCAAATTGTGTTGCGATTTTCTTGCGAATGAGCTTCACGGGCTTGACGGAATTAAAAGTTTGTGTGGAAATATGTCGTCCTTTTTAAGGACGACATACCATATTTCTTTCGCGATGACACGAACATTTCCGTTCACGTAGTCTTCCCGATAAATTTATCGCCTTCTCGTGTGTCACCTCAAAATACCGTGCAGTTTAATATCTGACTCCATACTGCGCGCATTGTTGTATCGCATCACTCTTTTTTAAAAAGACGACAATGCTATCGATGCGAATTTAAGCAACTCTTCTAGTGACCTCGAAAAACCAGCCCTTTGCCTTTCTGAACCTCTTTCAAAATCAGGTAAATGAATCTTGCTTGCACAATACCACTCGATCGATACGACGGGAAGACGACAATGAAAATGGCGATAGGGTCCGATCTGACGATGAACGGAAGTATACCCTTCCTCTGGCCCCCTGCGGAGTCCTGTTATTCCTTCGGGAAAATCACTTTCCCTTTTTCGCAGGCGTCCCACGTAACTCACTCACGAGGAACGAAACCGTGCCATTGCCTTTTTTCTCGACTTCGTCATACTCGGCACGTGTGTCCGGGCACTTCCCGACGCACTTACGTGCCTCTTATGAAGAATCCCTGCCATAATTGTGGAGGAGGGGAGAGATTCCGATACGAATTTCCGGCGTTCCGAACGACGCCATCGCCATCGCCGATATCGAGAAACGAGGAATTTTGGCCGCGAAATTTCTCGCGCTCTCCCTTTCTCTCCCTTCGCAGAGAACTCTAAATAAAGATCCGAAGGTATTTCTCATCGTTATCGATATGAGAGGTCCGCAAATCGATTCTCGAGGGATTTTTTCGCCTCGAGCAAGGTTATATCGATGAACTCGAAGAGCTCGAATGTCTTGACTTCCGAAAATCTTCTTACGAGAGATATTGAACAATGAATTATTTAAATATTAATTTCTCATAAAACTTTGGTAAATCAATTTGTGAATTTTTGATAGAAAATTCATCAAACTACTTAAGTTTCTATCGAATTGTCAAGTTTCTTCGGTATGCATATATCGCAAAATAGCTTGTGATAACTTGTTTATTACGAAAGCCCTCCCACCTAGCAGTCGCTATACGAGGCTGAACAGCAGCTACAAAAATAGCAGATTAGGATTATTTCGATAAAAATCATCGATTTATATATCAACTCGTTTTATAAATATCAGGTTTATGTTACAAAATTTTGATATTTTATTAGAAATAAAGCGACAACGATGAATATATACTAGAAATATAAGATGTGCACAAATTTTGCAACTCTTTGACATGCGGACAGTGTTTAACGCACGAGTTTCTCTTGACGTTGCAAAAGCTAACGTCCTCATGGATGCACAAAGCTGCGCGCTGTCTCGATTCAGTCTTTCGGAATGAACGAACGAAGCCGTTTCCACGGCGATTAATTCGCCTCTTCCGGTATTATCGCGCCCGCAGCGGCGTAATAACACACCACGATATCGCGTAATATTACCGCAGAATGCCATAGCGCGTTATACAACTCTCTTCCGCGAGAAAATGAGGAAATTTATACTCGCGATTTTTCTCTCTCTCTCTTTCTCTCTCTTAATATCGGTCATCGCGAAGCGGTTTCCGGTCCCTTTAAAACGGCGACATGTCAAAATCCGTTCTGTAAACGTATGAACAAGCGATTCGTTCGCGAATTAATTCACCGAATTATCGGAATATATTGGCAATGAAGAAGATTTAGAACTTGAGATTTACTGCATGTGTGTACAAATTTAAATTTACCTTAAATATACCTTATTAAATGAATTTGCTGCATTTGTCGTAGTAATAATAATTTTAGCAAAATTATATTTGACAGATTGAATCTGAAATTAAGTCACGTTGAGCTTATATGATTTTACTTTTGTAATTCAATATTTTTGAATTCATAGGGATTATAAATATGCATATGATTCGAAGATATCTAATATAGTCGGAAGCCAAAAGTCATTTAAGCAAGCATCGTAAAATAATCCCAGATTTGTCTTAAAAAAATTGACACAAGGTCGATATTCGCTCTAAAATATATTCTAACATTTTAATTATGTAATAATATATGAATTTTAAATCGGTACTGTATCTCTTGGTTTGAAATTACTAATATAAAAAAACTATTAATCTCGGCTTGAATTATTGTGTTACAATAAAAATAAAATCTCGACGGCAATCGGAGCCTATGCGGATGACATGCACAAAATTAATAAATTAAAATGAGATCTCAAGTCAAACTCATTTATTAAATTCTAAACGTTTCGACCCACTTCGGGTCTTCTTCAGTAGCTGCAAAATACAAAGAAACAAAAATAGAAGATAATCGGTACAATCAGAAAATTATAAAACTCGTATACATACAATCCGCAAATAAATTAAATATCATTCTCCTCCCTATTCAAACCGTCCGGCCGTCGGAGTGTCTCCCTAACGGTGACCATCGTCAGGAAGGAAGCGGAGCAGTGACTCCCTTACCAACACTAATCAACATGGTATAAATTAAACGTAGAACAATTCACAAGAATTAAAAATTAAGAACCGGGAAGAACACTCACCCCGACAGCAAAAACAGAGAGAAGACGATGCTACACGTGACACATCACTCTAACGACTGTGCGGTATTCTACCTCGACACAGTCGATACATATATACGCAAAAAACAAATATAAAAATAAAATATGAAAATAAAAATAAAAATAAAAACAACTAAACTAATCGGCACTCATGTCAAAAGTCTAACAAAAAAACCCGGCTATGTAAAATCACAAAGCTAGATTTTGGTAAATTTTTCTATTAACAGATCAAGATTCTCGTTTAATTTATCAGTGTCGCTATGTAAATTTAAACTATTCCTCTGACGTTTTATGTGGATCATTTCGGATATCAAACGTTTACCTAAAAAAGGCTCCTCGTCTAAGACTTTTACATCCTCCCAATTAAATTCATGGTTCAATAATCTATGTTCCGATATGACTGATAATTGTGACGCGTTTCTTTTTATGTTGTTGCGATGTTCTTTCATCCTAGTTTTCAACAATCTACCCGTCTGCCCTACGTACGACGCATCACAATCCATACAATCAATTTTATAAACTACATTATTATGGAGTTCTCTTGGTAACTTATCCTTGTGTACTTTAATGAATTTACGGAGACTGTTAATTGCTGTATATGATGGAATGACATCCAAATCACGTGTAATGTCCTCGATTCTCTTCGATACATTATTAATATACGGAATATTAAAGTACGAAACTTTTTTCTGCGTTAGAATCTTGTCATTGCATACATTTGCTCTATTGTTATGCAACTTATTATTATAGCGGAAGAACAACTTTTTTAACCGCGCTTGTAATGTATGAAATATCAAATTGAGAGGATAATTATTAGACAAAAGAACTCCAATCATAGACTCAAAGTTAACTTTATGGAATTTCGGATGAGATAGCCAAAAAACTCTATCTATGAGGCTGATAATGGTGCCTTTTTTATGACAGAGAGGATGCTGCGATTCAAAATTTAAATATCTACCTGAATACGTCGGCTTATGAAACAAATCAAACTCAATGCTCCCATTATTTATAATAATGGTGACATCTAAAAAATTCAATCGGTTGTCAACCCCCTCCTCCATGGTGAACTGCAATCTAGGATGGAAAGAATTGAAAGTGTTTAAAACTATTTTAAGCATGGAGGGTGGGGCCGCCAACGCGATATCGTCAACATATCTAAAATAAAATGGAAATGACAATGGAATCGCAGCAATTGCTCTACTCTCCAAATCTTGCAACGTGATATCCGCAATAATCGGTGAGAGGGGGGAACCCATAGGCGTGCCAAAAGTCTGTTGATAACATACATTATTAAACATAAAATAAGTCGAGTTGAAATTACTAAGTTCCATATATAAATTAATCTCGAACTTACATATGGAGAAAAATAAATACAATACCGAAGAATTAATTTTTTGCGCTTGGGCCGATTTAAAATTCATATATTATTATTATTATTATTAATATTGAGAGCCGACATATATTTCTTATCTGATTTTAATTATGTCTTTTTCAGATGATCGACGCCTCTTATCATACGAATCCATCGCTGCAAAGCACTGCCCTGATCATCACCTGCGCGGTGGTTCTACTACTGATGGCCGCGATCGTGTCCGTCGTCTTCTGGAAGTAAGTGTCCTAAAAATTCACTCCTCTTATCAATCTCTCTATTGTCGACATGCAAAGTTTTTGTAAAATCTGAGAACCGTCGGCGATCGCCTTCCGTAATAAAACGCCGGTTTCATTCGCGCCGGGACGTCGTCTCGAAGGTCGAAAAGTCGTTCAGATTGTGACCGTATTTCATGGGTTCGAGAGAGAGATCGTTCGACCAGAGCCTCACGATCCGGAGGAAGACAATGGAACGACCACATGGGGTGGCTTGGAAAACTACGAGTGGAGAGAGGGATAGGGAAGAAGGAGGTCGTAACAGGTTACGCGAAGAAAGAGCCGATCGTTTCCAAATTAGTCAAAAATAGAGCAAGGACGAGATGCTCCGGAGCCAAATAGCGCATGCTTCCGACAGCGTCTCGGTTATTCTTCGTCCCGCGCGATGATCTACGACGTAATGGGACGCACCGAGGGGTAGCTTTTGGTCTATATGGAATACGTTACTTTGCAAAATAATCGCTGAATAAGGGCATTTGCGCAATATATTTGCATTTGCCTTATATGTATTTTTCGGACTTTCTGAAGTCTCTTTTGTCTCTCCGAGATTTATTTGCTCCCATAAAATTAGGCGTGCAACGGTATTTGGCAGTTATTTAAGGAGAATAAATCATTCTCTTAGAAAAATATATATCTCTTATAGAAATTGACAAAATGAACAAAGACTAACGTAGAATTACAATAAGCTAGTGTATTATAATAGACAAATATCTGAATAAATAAATCACTTTTGCAAACGGAAATAGCAATTGCCCTGAATAGGAACAATAACATTCATTTTAAAAGATTTATACTAGCAATTTTGCACACGAATTTTTACGTGACTTTTGTCCCGTCATTTTATAACGAACAAAACGATCGAGAGGATGTTCTTGAACATATATTCTGAGTTACTCGAATATAGAGCATCCGAAGACGCGACGAGAAGGCCTGCCACTTTAATTAATACCTAACCGTGTTCCCGACAGCTTGTGGCTCTGGTTCCCATATCGCGTACCAAGATCTAGGTCGTGGTGCTTGAGATTAGATGATGACTTTGTAATTAACGAGAAGAGGATGCCATCTTGGTGATGCCGCGAAAAAAAGAGAGAAACCGCGCGAAATAAAACAATTAGGTATAGCAAAGATAATTTTACAAAGAGTAAAATTGAGAGACACAAATTGCTCGCGAAACCCGTTATTTTTTTCCCATTTGCAATTTTTTATCCGTGTCATCTTGATACGGAAGAGGAAATAGGGCGACGTCGTTACACTAATGGGCCCTAAATTAAGTAAAAAACGTTTCTACTCTACCACAAGCCAATCAGAATGTTGGTTTTGCTCTGATCGTGTTTCTCTGATCTGCAAACAACCGAGTCGTAACTCATCTTTAACAGCGGTTCTACCCTCGATTTTTCAAGCATTCTTTCGAAATTCGAAAAACTTGCACAATTCCAAGTCGAGTTTTATTTCGGTCATTCCGGTCCCATTCTTCGGTCGAATCCTTCATTCAGAAAATCTCGGGTTAACTCGGACATATTTTTTCCATCTGTCTCTGCGAACGTAATACCTCATAAATTTTTAAAATTCTAACACAAAACCTCAAGAGGACCGCCTTCAACCTTTGCTTCACGGGTCGACGGCGAGTGGGGCGGAACGATACGCCTAATTGACATTCCGGTCGAGTTCGTAAATTACGCAGAAATAGGCCATTCTAGAAATGGGCGTGCGCTCAGGCGCTGTTACGTACAACGCCGACAACGGAACACAGCGCGCCGGTAATTTGTGACACGGTAGCTCATGCTACGCTAGCACGATTCGTGCGGATCCGCGGTACACGGGAAAGGTACATTTACCGGGCGCAAGCTTACTTGGGAGATTTACGAACGCGCGAATCGGTTGCTCTTTCGCGCATTGATTGAACGCGCGGGAAAAAATGGAACGGCTCTCGATAAGACGGATAGGAGACACACGTGAGGAAGTTCGACAACTCGATACTCTTCTCTTTCGCCTATATATTCACAGAAAAAACAGTATCCTTGAAAGAATGCTAAGATGCCTTGATTCAAGTATATTTTATCCTTATAGTAGCGCCAAATATAAATAATTTTGGATAAAGGATAATTTCTTAAAACAAAGTGCAAATATTCTTGGTTGAAGCTGAAATTTACTTATAAATATTGCAAGGACAAGTGACAAGTGAGCATCGGATATAAGCGGTACTTTCAAGTATATATAATAATTCTTGGTTCAAATGTGACTAAGTTTGTTTTTACCATATATGCGATTTTTAAAACAAGAATATATCTTAAGGATAAAATATACTTCACACAAACTTATTTATTATTAAGGCAAATGAAAATTTGTGATTACAAAGAGCATTCTATGCTTCAATCAATCAAATAGCGTTCAAGAATAAAAATATACTTGAATCAAGGATTCTTTTTTTTCTGTGTTATTATCCTTTTCGATTCGTAAACTCGCCGAGGTTTCTTGCGCTTCTTTAGTAAATTTTAAATCATAAAATATTTAATTTTAAGAAAGAAAATATTTAAAAAAATAATGCAGAAAGAGACATTAATGATTGGAATCAGGTCGATTAATATTTGCCTCGTTTTAATTACTGTCCCTAGTCGATTGAGAGAGAGAGAGAGAGAGAGAGAAATTTCGACAATTTGATACTCTCTTTCTTCTATTATTACTCTTTGAACGCCTCTTCAAAGAGAAATCCGCAAATTTTCCTTGCGCTTCTTTAATGAATTTTAAATGATAAAATATCCATTTAATTTAAAAAAGAAAAATATTAAAAAAAAAATAAGATATAAGAGACATTAATGATTGGAATCATGTCGATTAATATTTGCCTCGCTCTAATCTCTGTCCTTAGTCAATTGATTTCACCCGCCTATCCATGTGATCTCCAGATCACTCGACTGACTATCAACTCGATTAACCCTCTAATGAGCAGCGCCTCTCCGTCCTATCTAATGATCGATCGATGAACACCGAGCCAGAAATCGCTGGTCGAGAGGACGGATTCTGTGTGTCGCACAGTACCCGGCATTCAATCGTTCGGTGCGATTTTATGGCGGTCCTCGAAGACGTTATTCTACAACGACGGCCCTGTTTTCGCGCATTTATCGTTTATGCCCGTCCATTATCGACGACCACACCGTTAGTATCTCAAGTGTTACCGGTTCATATATTCGCGTTCTTTATGGGTGGTATCGTAATCTTTTAGCATAATGGATGTAGTGGACTCTTGTATAGACCCTACGACGAATATAAAGACTGATTATAATATAATTAGATGTCTGGTCAGAAGAATTTTAATTGGATGTGTTACTCATGTCAGAAAATAGAATTGTATCAGAGACTCTGGATTATATCATTTCATTTATAAATATCAAAATTCAATTCGGATATTTTTTTCTAAAAAAAGACATAATTTCTTAAGATTTAACAGATTTTTATTTCTAAATAATAAATTCTCTTTAAAAAAAATTTTTTTTTTCTTATTAACTACAGAATTCAATCGCCGATCAGATTAATAAGCAACTGCTGCAAACGGTCTCTGTGCAAATTCTCGTTTTAAAAGATCTCGCTGAAATTTCTTCGCCATTCGGGACACAATCGTGACTCTGTTTTCGCGTAATTACTGTGGTTTATTGTCGAGCGTGATGTCTCGAGTATTGCGACGTCTCGCGGCTCATTACTTTGTGAGTGGCATCGGCCTCCTTTTCCCGATATTTCTCTTTTGCGTTTCGCACGTTTTCGCGGTTTCTCTCGTCGGTTCTCTACATTATTACATATCTTTCTCCGTGTTTTTACCCGCAGAATCGTAACTATACCTTAAAGCGATATGAAAGCAATTTAAATCCAAAATTACCAACTTGAAAGTCGAATCGCAGAGTCTCTTCTTTTATTAAAAATCTTTATTCGAATTTAAAGTTTGTGTATAAAATAAATGTTTGAATAGAAATATTTAACTGTGAATTTTTTCTATTGAGTGTTTCACTTTATAGATATATAAAATGCGAAAATAAGAATAAGAAAAGGGTTTGTGTACACAGAAAAAACAGTATCCTTGAGAGAATGCAAATATGCCTTGATTCAAGTATATTTTATCCTTATAATAGCGCCAAATAAAAATAATTTTGGATAAAGGATAATTTATCCTTAAAACAAAGTGCAAAATATTCTTGGTTGAAGCTGAAATTTACTTATAAATATTGCAAGGACAAGTGAGAAGTGTGCATCGGATATAAGCGGTACTTTCAAAAATATATAATAATTCTTGGTTCAAATGTGACTAAGTTTGTTTTTACCATATATGCGATTTTTAAAACAAGAATATATCTTAAAGATAAAATATACTTTACACAAACTTATTTATTATTAAGGCAAATAAAAATTTGTAATTACAAAGAGCATTCTATGCTTCAATCAATCAAATAGCGTTCAAGAATAAAAATATACTTGAATCGAGGATTTCTTTTTTCTGTGGTAGAGAAAGGCTTGTATAACATCTTATTAACGTCGTTAACGTAGAATAATGAATTTTATTTTTACGCGAGTGATTCGGAGGCTGTGCAAATCTAGATTCTCCGTAAGAATCAACGGCTCTTTAGCTATACGACACTGCGCACACAATCAGAAACGCGGAGAGAGAACCGACACGACCGCGCGTAGTTTGTATGCTAATCAGAATCGTGTTCCTTCCCATCCTCGCGTATCCTCGTCCGCTATCCTCTCGTCCGCCCATTCCGAGCTCTAACTATCGTCAATTCTATTTTCTATCGCGTCTTAGCCCCGCGCATTCGCACCCTTGTTCACGTTTAAATCCGAATGTGTGGCCGTCCGATTCCGAGTTTTATTTAATGCACCGAGACCGCGCGTTCGACGTAATCGAGGAACGAAAAGCGAATGGCCACATTTACCGTTGAATATATCGCACGAACACCAGCTCGTATTCGCATATCGTA